AAAAAAAAAGCACATTCGAGTGGAATAACAATCTTGAAACCATACCATAATATCCCAAACACCTCATCAAGACTGTGAAACACGGTGGTGGCAGCACTGTCTCTTTAGTTGAGACATTGATGGGGTGAAAGAAGGACTAAAAACAGAGCAATGCTGGAGAAATCAGGCAGGGTTAGTCTGTAGAAAAAGACTAGGCTTTTGTAATGCTAACTGAAAAGTTTTTTCATCCATTGCAGAGCAAACATCAACTCAAATCTGTCTTCTTTTGCCTCACAGATCCAAAGTCTTGAGGAAAATCTGGCAAAAGCCAAGGATGAGAACAACCAGCGACTGATCCCTTACAACAATATTATAATACAACTGGAGGAAGACCTGATGAATGCGAGGAAACAGGTGGAGCAGAAGGTGGAGAATTACAAAGAGCTGCTCGGCCTCAAGATGAGGCTGGAGAAAGAAATTGATGCCTACAATGAGCTGATTCAAGGCATAACTGCTGATACTGAGGGGTGAGGACACATAAAGTATTTCCCTCTTTTAATTGCTGTAAGGTGGTTTGAATGAATAACAGCTCCAGAACAGCCCGGGAGAAAAAAAAGGTACGGCAGTTAAATACAGGACTTGTGCATTATTTATCCTCTTCTTCCCCGACAGCGTGGAGTTTGATTTAGAGGACGCAATACCAGTTGGTAAGTTCCAGATCCGCTTCGTGAGAAACTATCCAAAACCCAAACCCCATCAAGCCCCATCACCTGATCAACCCTTTAACCCTTTCACCAACCAGACAGGGTTCGGTTACTGATCACAGAAATGCTTTCGGTTGGCTCTGACAATCTGATTGGCCATCTTCCCAACAGGAAACAAACAAACACAAAATAATGCAGCCCTTGTCTTCCCACACAACGTGTAAGCAGTTCGGTTGACAGCGTGGAGAGATTTAAATGCATAATGACACGTAATAACTTCCGCCTTGAATGGCAGCAAAGCAATTCTCGAATTGCTACATTGATGAGCATAAAAGAAAATATGTGCATCTTTCATTTCTGTTGTGCCTTAGGTCATGCTGTCTCATTGTCTCTCCATGTTTGATGCCTCGGTTTACACATGTTATTAGGGAAGCGCTTAGCTGAGCATGAAAGCCTGCCCTCACGCCGTTTATTGTTTGACAAATGCTTTAAGAAAACAAAATTATAGGCTTTCTTTCAGAGCGTCAAAACAACATGTCCTTTATGTTCTGTTAGAAAGTCTTTAATAATGTTTCCACTGCTTTCAAGCTGGTTATTAACAGTTAATAATACTAACTACACTGGATTGCTGTTGTATTCTAATTGCATAACACCACAAACAAATTTTACTACAAGAAAAAAACAAAACAAGGGAATGTTTGAAATTCATCGTAACGAAAATCCAAATCAAACCAATTTCTGGTTGGAGCTTTTTGTAGGTTCCTGATGAAGGACTGAAGGAACACCAGGTACAATTATATGGGAAACGCTCTTATATTTGTGCCGTTTCTGTTTACAGAACAACAAAGGAGTGACCCGGTGGAAAGCGAGGTGGTGTCTTCGGTGAGCCCTGCCGTTAACCAATCCTCATCCGAGGCTCCTATGAATACCGTTCCAGAGGTGGTGGTGGGTTCTGATGATCTCGACAAGAAAGCTAAGAAAGCTAAGAAAGCCAGCAGCGACAAAAAAGCCAAGAAGAAGAAGCAAAAGAAGGAAAAGAAGTCTAAGGACAAGGAATCCTCCTCTTCCTCCTCGTCCTCCTCTTCCTCTTCTTCTTCCTCTTCCTCCTCTTCCTCTTCCTCTTCCTCCTCTG